GACACAACATCTTTGTTTGTATGTGGTGCTGAGGATTGAACCCGGGCCACACGCATGCCAGGGGAGCGCGCTACCGCTTGAGCCACATCCCCAGCTTTTTTTTTTTTTGAGATAAAGTTTCACTAAGTTGCTCAGGCTCGACTCGAACTTGGGATCTCCTATCCTAGCCTCCGTGCTCACTGAGATTCCAGGTTTGCACCACCACACGGAGCTTAATACATTTTAACATGGAAAGAGCAAAAACTTCTTAAACAGGGCACAAATATACTAATCATAAAAAGTGAAAAACAAGCCAGGTGCGGTGGTGCACACCTACTATCCCAGAGGTTTGGGACGCTGAGGCAGCAAGATCTTGAGTTCAAAGTTAGCCTTAGCAACAGTGAGGTATTAAGCAACTCAGTGAGACCCTGTCTCAAAATAAAATACCAAATAGGGCTGGGGATGTGGCTCAGTGGTCGAGTACCCGAGTTCAATCCCCAGTACCCAAAACACTAAAAATAAAAAACAACAAATTTAGACTTCATTAAAATGAAGAATGTCCATTAAAAAATTCCAATAAACGAGTAAAAGCCATAGACAAGGAGAAAATATTCACAATATCTATTTTCAAAGGAMTCACATCCAGAATCAGTAACTCTATAAGAAAAAGACAGTCCAATTTTTAAAAATAATAATAATGGAGAAAGACTATGAACAGGAATTTCACCMAAAAAAAAGGAATACCCAATGGTCAAAATCATTACTTATCAAGGAGATGAAAATTAAAACTCTTGCCCACGTCCTGCGCAGGGGAAGGAAAGGGTTTCCTTCCAGAGGGATGGGCTGGCTGAGAAATAGAAGCTAAGAAAAGTAGTACCATAGAGCACTTGCCTAGCATGTGTGAAGCACTGAGTTCGATCCTCGGCACCACATAAAAATAAACAAAATAAAAGTATTGTGTCCATCTATAACTAAAAATTTTTAAAAAACGTAGTACCATAAAATAACCACAGAACACAGAAAAGTACAGTTTCAAAGCCAGAACAGCGATAGGCAAAGCTGACCAGATGGGTCCAGCTTGTAACAAAGAAGGAAGCCTATGCTTACTTTATTTATATCAGGACACATCAAAGAAATTCTATAGAAAGTTCTTCACCAAAACAGGTGGGGGCAAGTATGCTGCTGGGTCCCTAGCAGGTCACGCCCATCTCCCATACTGCATGAGACCTCTTAGCAGAGCTTGGGGGAGAGGACGGTTTGCTTGCTTACATTTGGGCAATCTTACCCAATGGGACTGCCACAGGACATTCCCAATACCCAGATCTACCCCCTCAGTGGCCACCATGCTGAAACAGGTCTTCACACATTTCACAATGGCTTCCCACATAAAACCACATCCTGCCTGGCAGAACAGCTAAAAATTTTCAAGTATGACAATATCAACTAAGGGAGAGGATATGGAACAACTGGAATTCTCATACATTCTAATGGTAGTATAAAATAGTACAGGCATTTTGGGAAACTGCCAGTGCATACTAAAATTAAACATATCCTAGGATCCAGAATTCAAGCCTAGAAAGCTTGAATAAGAATGTTGACATCAGCCTAACTCAAAGTTGCCCAAAAGTGGAAATAACACAAATGTCCATCAAAGGGTGTCATCTGCCACTGCAAAACCTTCTATATATGTCATTTAATCTTCAGAACAACCCTATGAGGTAAATAATATGTCCCATTATAAAAACGAGGAAAGGAAGGCTTAAAAAAGCTTTAGTATCTTGCCCAACAGGTCCCAGAGATAAGTTGGAAAAAGATCTTTTCACGTGGCTATGTTTTGCAGGTTTTTTGGGAGGGGGTACAGTAGTGRGGATTAAATCCAGTGGCACTCTACTACTGAGCTACATTCCAGACTTTTTATTTTATTTTGAGACGGGGTCTCACTAAGTTGCCCAGGCTGTCCTGGAACTTGCCACCTTCCTGCCTCAGCCTCCAGAGTCACCAGGATTACAGGCATGTGATACCTCATCCAATTTGCAGATCATTCTCAATAACTGTCAACATTTCAGGGGCTATTAATTCTATAGTTGAAAAGTAAGAATTAACAAGTACTTTCTCTACCAGAGCTGAAAGCATAAAGAAATTTGCTTTGAAATTCAAAGCCATTTAGTAATTGTGGATTTATGGAAAGTTTACAAAAATTGCCAGTGAGGGGTGGGATGGTGGCTCAGTGGTAGAGCGATTGCCTGGCATTGTGTGAGGCATTGGGTTCAATCCTCAGCACCACATAAAAATAAATTACAATAAAACAAAGGTACTGTGTCATCTACAACTTAAAAAAAAAAAAAAAAAAAAAAAAAAACTTCCAGTGAGGCTAGAGAATAGGCAAAGCCCTACCTAGTTCTCTATACTTGCCTCTTATATTAAAGATTTTTTTTAGGTAGTTCAAAAGGACATTCGCTAATAATTATATATCTTAATTATATTAGAAAACACCACACCAGATTGTTGCTTAGAGGGAGGCTAAGTCTAAAGAATAGATCAATTCAGATTTAAGGACACATTTTAAGTAAAGCATATTATATAGGCACGTATGACCCAAATCACAAATATGTTCCAAATGGCTTTCATCTGAAAGGCACTGAAGGTCACATGGTTAGAGCATGCAAAGCATACAAATCAGCTTGAATCTCAGACTCTACCCTTTAAGATACTGGAACCGCTCACTTTTTATACTAGCAATGTCAGCAACAAAAGGGTTCTTCTCACTTTTTATTTCTTTGTAGACTATGAGAAAACAATTTATAAATATAGATAAAAATATAAAAATATGCTATAGTGGTAAGAAATATATATTAATTAATTAATACTTGTCCTCCCTGGATAGAATTTCTGTGGATAACCTTTTAGGGTTCATAATGCCAAGTAAYGGATAAATCCAAAACCTAAAAGAAATCAAGAATTTATCAGTCAGGCACAGTGGCACTTGCCTGTAATCCCAGTGACTCAGGCTGAGGCAAGAGGATCACAAGTTAAAGGTCAACCTGGACAATTTAGAGGGTCCCTGTCTCAAAATAAAGAAGGATGGAGGATGCAACTCAAAGGTAGAGTAGTTCAATCCCCAGTACCACCAAAAAAAAATAATTTTAAAAATAAATTAAAATAAGAATAAATTATTTATACCTTATGGATAAGGCACAGTGCTAAGTACCATGCAGTATTCAAAGAAGTACAAAACTAAGTTCTGATTGTGGCAGAGATGGCTGGTCATTCCCCTAATATTCATATCCTTCTTCTACTTTGTAACAGATTTTTAGCCAGGCATATAACTACCCAAAAGAAACAAATTTCTAAGCAAACTTGTAGCTGGAATATGACCATGTGACTTAAGTTCTGGCCAATGGGAAATGACATAGGCAACTTCCAGGGCAGGCATTTTCCCCCTTTAGCTGTACAAGTAGGAGTGAGTCATCCTGGGCCAGCAGATGCAAGCAACACCCTAAAATACTGAAGTAATAGGACAGGCAGGGCCTAGGACTTTGTACAGTGGAGCTGCCATACTGGTTCACTCTTGAAAGAAAAACAAATGTCTGTCTTACTTAAATCACTTATTTGGTGGCTCCTTCAGGTACAACCCTAGAAAYCAGCCACTAGGTAGCTGGGAYTAAAGGGGTATACCACCATGCCCAGCTGAAGACAGTCTTTCCTCTCTTGCTTCCTACAATACCCAAGAATAAAGGAGCACAGGCTGTATTTAGTTCGGGGAGCTGGAGTGATCCTCACTTTTCAAAACACCATCTCTCCCTCTTGCTTTCTGTAGACAACAAAACTATATTACTAATCTTCCAAGTAAAAATTTCATTTCCACTCATCTCTTTTCAAATATCAGATAAAGGTCCTTTGCTAATCCTCATATTTCAGATGCCCCAATCTCTTAGAGCCTTTATCAAACCCTCTCCCCTAATCATGTCACCTTCCAACTTTGCTGTTCAGTTGATTACCCAAGTCACAGAGCCCAGGTGTTCCTTTGATGATGTCATCACA